AACAGTGCAAAACAACGTTGGCATTGAGCGTAATGAAACTGCAACCATATAATGAAACTCTAACCCGTGAGTTTCTCATGCTGAACCTCAAACAGTTCAAGCATGGATGAGTAAGTCAGCACGCAAAAGGGAATAACAAGGTAGAGTCTTTTCATGAATGACTCTTTTTCAATGCTACAACAGCTGCCTCAGGCATCACAAGAGTGATGGAACTGTTAGAATACAGCAGACATCACAATCTGACATTCTGTGCCAGTAGAGAGGGTCCAAGATGATGATCTCAACAAAAACAACAAAAGAGATCGAATGCCGCCAACTGTAAACAAAACAGCTCAACTCAAAGACAGACAGGCGCGTGTGATAAATAAACGAGTCCAAAAGGAAATAAAAAGTATCTGCACACATTCGGCACAACGCACTTCATTCGTACGATAAAAGCGAGGCATACAACACAATCACTAACAGCGCATACAATGTGCAAAATCTCAGTACAGACTTTACGCTTACCTTCCGGCGAAAAAATCGTCGTTCTCGAATCATATCTTCGTGACTAAACAAAATCTAAACTAAAATAGCTGCAAGAAAACATTACCATTATAATTCGGCTGTCGACTTTCGATTACGAACGGTGTCTAAATTCAAAAAATGCAAATACGAAATAATAGCAAATTAGTAGCAAATTTCGCGGAAGTTTAATTAAAATTGGTTCGTCGTGATCATCAACATACGATGCAATTATTAACTCTGCGACGTTTACAACAATTTAGTTATATCAGGGGTGGTTACTAGCGATGGCGTCGGAAAGTGGAAACAGACAGAGACCAGTCGCGCGAGAGTTACAATGCGGTAACTGAACCTGTTTGCAGTGAAGAAGCTGTATAGCGTGAAACTACTTGACTTCAAGCCAGCATACGTATCTATGTTGACGGCGATCGAAGGGGTGGGATTTCGTATAACAGTCAGAAGCAGTGTAGTCAAAGTACAAAACGCGTTAGCAGCTGCAGTGAGGTCAAAAACCAGTTCTGCAATACGGTTAGTGAGGCAATGAAGTTCAGAAGTCAAAGATCAGGGTACATTGGAAGCAGACGCGACGGCTGGGCACGACAGTGAAACAGCCGGGTACAGAGCGACAAGTAGGGTCACATTGGAAACGAAAGACGGAATTCGCAGAAAGCTTGGGAGAGGGTATCGTTCAGCAGTGGAACGGGAGAGGCGCCACGCATGCTACATAACATGTCTGTTAAAACTTACTGGAGAACCTGCACTAACATGTTACCACAAATATCCGGAAAAAGATCTAAGTAGCTGCAACTGGAAAATGACACGATGGTAATCGCCTTTCGTAACGCAGAAACGTATCGCAACATTCTAGCGTAACAGTGATTGGGAAATTTTCAGGAGTTACAGGAGACGGTATAAAAGGCAGTTGACAATGTTCGAAGCGTCCCCATTATAATTCAGACGGTCTTTGCTGATTCAGAGCCCTCATGGACTTAGGGAGACATTTCGTGAAGTAAATCTAATCTGTATCGAGAAGCGTTTTACACGTAAGAAACGGTTCCAGGCAATCATTTTTCCAGCATGCTACAACAGTGCATTAGGCATTTTTAGCGTAAAACGTGCTTTACAAAACTGACGTTAAATGCAGTGAGACATGCTAATTCGGCTGACAATGCGAAAAGTAGTAGCGAAACGAAAGTACTGAAGCATGTAATACTAGTCACTATTCCTTCTTAACAATCTTGAAACTCACTGTGAACTCAGCCAGTAGCTCAGCTTAACAACATAATTACTCTTAGATGTCTGCAATATTCACAACACAGCATTTATATTACAGCAGAAAATCAAGCAAAACCGCGCAACTTTCATGGCTTTACGGTTTACTGTAGTTCTTCATCACACGAAGGCTGTACTTCCGTATCGGGAACCAAACGGTTTACTGTTAGCCTTCTAAATTTCTAAAAAGCCAGTTTATTTACAATTGCAAGGCAGCAAGAAAGTAAGAAAATGACTTAGAATAATATTAAAGCGCAAATATCTTGCTCTCTGTGGAATGCATTTCTTCATATAAGGATTCGCTTACCCCATCAAAAGTTAATTGACCACTAATCGCAATCACTAACTATGCATCATTCATTAACCATCAGTCTGATTGTGCGCTACTAGCCAAGATAAAGGCTGATAATAATCTTTTAAATGCTACTACTGCTTAGAATTAATAGGTAATGACGGAAGGCCAACGGCCGTTAAGAAAATGTATTGTCTTATTTTTTCATCTAGCCTCCTATTCTTTCCTCCTTGACTGCTTAAGAGCTTTAGTTTCTCTAGATAGACGTCTTGGAATCATCCTGATTCAATTCTGCTAGATATCTTTAGTACTTAGAGTGCTGTACTCTTGATTTCATACTTCACAGAATAAATGTAGATGTTCTCTTGTCATTTCTCTGGATTTACGCGGCGTCTTGCACAGTTGCCTTGCTTCTTGTAGCCTAAAAGTTTAAGGAAGCCACTGATCCATAGTATTTTATTTACCGGCAACGCATGAGCGCCAAGGAAAATTACTTGATGCGTACGCTATGTCGTCTGATTTCAGAGAAACTTCAGGAAAATGCTATTGTTATTAGCGGTATTGAAAACTAGCGGTTTATTAGTAAAACCAGAATATCGAAATGCATGTGATTAGTACGGACTGGCTTCCACTGCTACATCGTGTTTATATGAAATATTTTTGTCATATTTTCTCGTCTGCTTCAAATACCTGAGCAGTTGTATATAAGAATTTTTATCCGGACGTGCTATCTTCTGTCAATGCTGAAACGTTGGCGCAGGGTCAGGAACTTTGTAGACACTGTGTGATGCGTGTAGCTTCCTACCAAAATGAGAACGGGTCAGTGAAACTGCTTGCCTCAATTTCTCTTCTGCTGTCGATTTTTTAAGATAAAAGTTTGATCCCAATTTTTCACTGATTTCTTCACCATTTTATTTCAGTTTTATTCCTTTTGTTTAGTTCTGACTCAATACCAGTTTATAACATGCATTAGACACTGCCAACCCTACAAACTGTGTCCTTTCAACAGATGATTCGCCACGTTAAGACGCTAGATCGCTGCGAGTAGCTCCTAAATAATTTGAATGATAATACATTAAAATTACATTTAGTTTTCAAGTTTTCATAAATGTCATTTTAGTCCTAAGGCTCAAATTCTTCCTTCAATAATTTTTAACGAGATAATTCATATAGCAGAGTATGCTACAGACACTTAAAAGATTTTCGTAGTAAGTGCTTCTTTTGTTTTTTTATCATAAATATGAAGCCCATGTATGGTGTCTAAGGGTCTTGCAATTAAAAGAATTTTAGCATTGATTTATTTCTTTGTTTGTATGCACTATTAATCGAAACGACTAGCGCAAACACGAAATTTCTGTTCATAAATTTATGGTTCTTCCCTTTTTTGCGTTGAAGTAGTAATTGTTTATAG